CTCTCTCTCTCTCTCTCTCTCTCTCTCTCTCTCTCTCTTTACCCGATCGAATTTATGTCGCGGCCGTGGAAATGGCCGTCAATTTCACAAACCGTCGGAGAACGACTCCTCTCTTCTTTCCTTTTTTCTTTTCTCTCCTTTCCTCCCCCTTTTTCCCCTTTTGAACTTCGATCGTTCCCTTCAATTCAAAATTATCTCCCGCGATCTGTATTAATTATTACCTCGATCGAGACGTCGGAATAACGCAAATAGAGGGATCGAGACGAGGAAGGAATCGGGATAAAAAAAAAAAAAAAAGAAACAGAGAAAACATAGACGTTCTCTAAAATCGGTTTCAACACGGAACAACGCGTAACGTAGTACCGGTGGTAGTGGTGGTAGTTGGTTATTAATCGTTATATGGAAATACAACGCGTTGCAACGACGGCGGGGCGGCCCCGTTTCCACGATATCGCGCCACTGACAATAATAATTGTTTCGATTCACGGGAAAATTGAATAGAGGCCGCGGGTATTATTAAACGATTGTTCACGCTGGTACGTTTACGTTCCGTCGGTCATTACGTGTTCAATCTTTCGCTAATTGGCGAATCCGCGCCGTCGATCCTCGACCGGTTTTCCATTTTCGTGGATTCGAAAAAAAAAAAAAAAAAAAAAAAAGAAAACAGTTTCGAGAGAGAAAGGAAAAGGAAAGAAAAAAAGAAAACGCGACGATTCTCCGGCGACACAAGCACAATGCGAAATCGACGACGATTCCCATCGAATCGAATACGGGAAAGCTTTAATTTACAATTCGTCGCGAAAATCTCGTTGCTTGCCTTCCACTCGACGCGTTCGACGCGTTTTCGTTCCAAAGATATTTTGCTTCGAAACGCCTGTTCAAACGCAACGAGATTCACGCGATTTTCCCCGTGACACATGGCGCGAATTTCCGCCATTGTTTTCACCACTTTCGCTCCGAGTTTAAGCGCCCTTTCGAGCACTTTCGCGCGATTGTGCGCCAGCCAAGTATTATTCCCGCCACCATCGACCGTGTTTTGGCACGGGAACGCAACGTTTCTTCGTATAGATAGCATTCGTAACGGGGAGGAACTCCAGAGAGATGTTGCTCCCGCGCGTGGAGGCGGGAAGATGAAGAAGAGAGAAATATTTGATCGCGAGACAATAAGCATAGGTTTCACTCTGGAGAGATAAAAGTACGAATATAAATCTTAAATGTACAGGATATGGTAATTCGAGATTTTTTTCACGACTCGAAACGAAACGAAAATATGGAATAAAAGTTTTCCATACTGTTTCGTTCTCTAGTTTAAAAAATTGAAATTAATTTACAAATTTGTAAAGTTGAGTCACTTTGTGAAAATGGTATAAAATTTTCAAATTCCTTCAATTTCTCTCCCGTCTTCGTACCGTGAATCGCACTGTCCTGTACAAATGAAATATCTCTTCTTTACTCTCGATTAAAACATTCGTTAATTTCCTCCCTCCCGATCTCCATTCGCTCACTTCGAATTATATATATCCACTGTTTTCATCCTTATTATTTTATCTTCCTTTTCAGGAATTCGCGTTTACAAGGATGTGGACGAAGGGAGAGAATCCACAGGGGCGTACGAGGTCACGGAGGAGACGAGTTAAACAGCATCCAACATCTCCTTCTCTCCTCCTCCGCGTGTATGCGCGTTGAGGCTATTTTCCCTCGGAATGCATCGAGCGGCAAATGTTCTCCTTTTCTCCAGTATGGGGGACGATTGTTCAGCACGGCGAAAATTCGGCGATTCCCCGAAGGTAGCGCGAGAAATTCAATTTGCTCGCGTATCACGTCTCCCCGCCCGATTTATCGCCCGTTTCTGAATGAATTCTGAGTGGAACGAGCGAGACCGAGTTGCGAGGCGCGTGCCGCCTAGAATTAACGTCACGCGACAACCACGTTTTCTCGCCTCTCCACAGCACTGCGTGTACTACTTCCTTTCCGTGAAAACTTATTTTTAAGTAAACGTTCTACCAATGTGTGGCGATGCGGGTATAACACGATGATATCTACTCGTTTTCAGGATTATTAGAGGGGGTATTTTTTTTTATTCTTCTTTTTTAAAAATTAGTTACTTTAATTAGTGTTTAATTATATATATTTTTAATTTGTACAGGTATGGGTAATTCAAAAAATAGATTTACAGGTAAGGAATGAACGTTTGGGAAAAATGTAAGAGATTTAATATCTACGAGACTTTGGAAACTTTTGGTGTTCCTTCTTTTTATATCATTGCAATGGAAATCAATATTTGTTAACGATTATCCAATTTCTCCAATTAAAATCTGACTGATGTGTAAATAAGAAGATACAAGTAGCATATTAAATCAGACAGGATTATTTCAGATTTTATAAATATAAGTATATACCTTTCTTCTCAAATTTCAATCTCCCCTAGTTTCAGTCGACTAAAATATTCAACCGAGTCAAACCTTCCCACAAAATTACCATCCCAGTCGAGAGACGTATTCTTCTTCGCGAAAAGCCTTTAAT